ATTTCTAAAGATGACATACATGCTTACATTTGTGTGATTCCTAGATGGTATTTTTGTGAGGCATTTTAAAAATATTTTACATTGCCATCTTTAGGAACAAACCGACTTAAAATTAATTGATACATGTATTATATGTGAAACATTTGGCTTTTGAATTAGTTATTGGCAAGAATTAATATTACATATTCGTCTTGTACAGAAAGTAAGGAGAGGGCGTGAGTATGATTCAGGAAAGCTTTGCTAGTGATGATTTGCTTTGTACATGTATTATGTAAATGTCTTTTTAAATGTAGCACTAACACGTATATTAAGTATTGCGATTTTTGAAATTCTTCATGGACATTATGAAAAAAAAAAAATCTAAATAAACGATAGTCATATATTTTTAAATAAAGAAAGAAATACTAGTAAACTCTATTGTCAATGTCATTCAGTATTAAAATAACCTGGTTTAGCGGAAGCCCAATATTGTAAACCAAAGCTAAATAAAAAACGAAATTATTATATATAAAACAAAATTAATAAATAAAAAACGATATTACAAAATTAAAAACCAAACTTAATAAACAGCAAAATTATTAAATAAAAATCAAATTATTAAATAAAAACGAAACTACTGAATAAAAAAAAGTATTCTAAAAATCCAATAGGCAATATGTAAATTCTTTTGATATTGTAATGGTTTTACTTTAGAAATTCTTTATGGACATTATGAAAAAAATCTTCTAAAAAACCAATAGTCGTATATTTTAAAACAAAGAAAGAAATACTCTGATACTCTTTTGTCATTGTCATTCAGTATTAAAATAACATGATTTTGTGGTTGTTTAATAAAATGCAACAGAAAAAAATAATCAGCCGAATCCCATGACTCTATATTTTTTTTTTCTCTCAGAGTTTTTTTCATTATGGGAAACTGTGTACTATTCTACTGATTAAACTTAATGTGTTCTTTAAAAACTTAGTTTTAAAACCACAATTAAGATTTCTTCCAAAGGTATAAAACATAAATAACTAAAAGAGATCGTGTTAAAAAAACAAGCAGAATAAAATACAATTAAAACAAAAATAATAAAATAAAATAATGATAAAATAAATTTATAAAGCGCTAATATTAATAAAATTACTCTAAAGCGCTGTACAATAAAAGGCATTTAAGAATTAAGAATTAATTAATTAATTACATGTAATTTAACATATGTGTGTTAGAAATTAAAACATTAAAATTCTTAATTACATACAAACAATTACGTCATTAAAAACTGTAAATATTAGACAATCGTTTGAGATTTGTTGCTAAAATAAAATACTTATCCTACATTATTTGATCCTGTCTTTATTAAAAAAAAATCAATTTTACGATGGTCGATATCAGCTTGTGTAAAATAAAATTACACGGCCTATTGTTTTGTTGTTTGTACATATATATATATATGTATATGTACAAAATATAATATGAAGAGATACAATTTCGCGAAAAGACAATATGTACATAAACAATTCTTAAGTGCTGTATATGTAGAAACCAAAAAAAAAATAATAATAAAAAACATATCAAATATTTTGTCACTGTAATTATATATATATATATATATATATATATATATATATATATATATATATATATATATATATATATATATATATATATATATATATATATATATATATATATATATATATATACGAGGGCCGTTCAGAAATTACGCAGACTTGTTGCACAGAAAATATATTTAACGACATAATCAAGCAAAAAGTCATAAATAATATAAAAGAATCTAAACATATATGATCATCAAAATTTCATATCAAAATATTGTAAATTGATATCAATTTCAAGTGATTTAACAGGACATGTCATGAAGTCACGGCGCAGTAAAACCTTCAACGTCACGGGCATTTTAAAAAATGGGAGCTTTCATTTTCTCAATATTCTCCCTTAGCATTTGATACAGTATAGTTTGGGTTACCCTATCCACTTAGAATAAACATCCATATACCATTTCTGATTCAGCTTAAAAACTATAAAACTAGTATTGTGTGTTTTAGTTTGTGTTAAACCCCAAAACTGCAGATATTTCTGAAGTAAAGTTTGACGTCAGTCGATCTCAATCACATTCTTAACAGCCCAGATCAGTATTTTGTCGATGAACTTCTTCCATCCCTCCCGGATTACGTTTTGACTAAGGTCTAACAGTCTAGAATTCTTTTTACATTTTGTAGAGATGTGTCGGATATTCCGCTGATTTACTACATGCTTCATTAGGCTTATTTTGGGTCTCTATTGGCGTTTTCCCAGCAGGATTAATGATTTGATAAAAGTGCGCTGCTCCGTCAAATCAAGAGACGTCATTTTTGCCGTTGATTTCGTAAGGGTCATATCGGAGAAAAATTACAATATTTCTGTTAGTACTTCAAATATTACGCCAGAAATCTAAATACTTAATAATAAAACAATAAAAAGAAATTTTAGAAAAAATTGTTGAATAATATCGTGAAATATGGAAAATAAATTAATAAAATTTTGGATACCGCATGTTTGTTTTTCAACGTTTTTGAAGTGCTCCGTACATCACCATCAGTAGTATCAAAAACGGCGATAATTTTACGAGATATTAAATAAAATAAAAAAAAAATTACCAGAAAGAGCCATAGCTGCCTCTCCGACGACACGGCCGAATCAAGAATTTAAAAGGAAATCACCTGTTTCTATTTATAGATATACCTTTTCAATTCAAGATCAAACTATGTAATATGGTTTGAGGACGAGTATCATATTTTCATAGTTGCAAGTATGTCAAATGACATTCATTTACTTTGTTCAATACTCTAATTCTGAGACAAAAGATTTAGAAAATCAATAAAAATAAAACAAGTAGCTATGAATTTACAAACTTTAAAGCTATATATGGCGTATCTGAGCTACAAAAAAAAAATTAAATAAAAATACGAGATTGAGTGAAGATAAACGTGATATATGTTTTTTTTACGTTCAAATAAAATTTTTCACCGATTTTGAACTTGAATAACCTAATGTTTCCATAGTTAAATTGATTTTAAACTGTGTCTGTTAATTAAATGCGGAGTCGTTAAATAAATCGGATATTGTATTAAATTTCTAATACCTGTGAAATGTGATTGATTTTAATTGTGTAATTTACAGGAAAGTCCTATCTTTATATAAAGTAATAAAACAAATAGAAAGATCTTTTTAATTTTAGTTAAATACGCCATATATGACTTTAATAAAATAGTTTAGGACTGTCTTTTCCCGAGATACTTTCAAAGTGTAATGTGTATATTATAACTTCCTGAAATTATGCATATTATAAAACGTAATAAAGAAAAACGTAGAAAAGATATACAAAGAAAAAAAAAATTTAAAAAAAAACATAAATAGAAAAATGTGGGGCTCGAACTCGCAATCACCATATTTACATTCCAGCAATCATACCACTGCGCCAACGAAGTCAATGATGTCAAATGGATAAATTTAAGACAGATTGCTAAATCTTACGATTATATGAGAAGAGAATTTGAATATATATTTTCATCATTTTCAATATGAAGACCACCTTTAACCAAAATTATCTAAATGTAATGAAGCGCAGTCATATCCAAATAAAATTATTCAAAAGTTGTTTTTCTGGTTAAGGGTGGTCTTTGGCAACAGTTTGTCATCTTTAGGTAGATACCTCAATATTTACTATACACTCCATACAAACTGGATAAATTTTATATTTATCATATGAAGGAACTATCAATATTGAAATATCATTATTGTGTGGTTTGGTTTTACGTATGTATAAACTTATATTGTATGACAAAATTTTGGATAAACAATGAATTTAAGAAATCACTAGTAGAGTAGGCGAAAATGCCTATCAAATGCGCTATGGCTCTTTATTGGAATTTTTAAGAAATATGTTCCTGTGTAATTTCAATTCAATATGACGTCTGTAAGAGTAAATAATAGCAGAGTCCGCGTAATTTTTGAACGACCCTCGTATATATATATATATATATATATATATATATATATATATATATATATATATATATATATATATATATATATATATATATATATATATATATATATATATATATATATACAAACTTCTATTTGAATATTACTACCCTTTTGTACCCAAATACTACTTTTTTGAGAAACATTCGTGGTTTGACATTTCGACATATTTAAAACCTTGTAGAAATTGATTTGTAATTTACAACATAGTTTTTGAAATAGACCAAATATTGTAAGTTTGACCTTTTAAAATATTTCTCTAAGGAATTTTACTGTAAAAAATCATTTTAGATGTGCAGACTTTAAGTGTAGTCATTAATATTGTTTATTATTTGAATTAATTTATTTTTGTTATCATTAATTGGTCAATTATTAACAATCTGTAAATATATATATATATAGAGAGAGAGAGAGAGAGAGAGAGAGATCTTACTTAAAACAGTTTTAAGTTCAGTGAAGTAACCATACTTCACTGCATACTTAGTATTCAAGCTCAAAAGTCTATTAAACAATACAAATTTTGGAGCAGAGCAAATACGGACCTCCAAAACATGGAGGTGGGATCAGGTGCCATGGAGGAGTGAGCATCCCCTGCCGACCGGTCGCACATACCCGTCTTGTGCTCCTTCTCATGATCGGGTAATAGCAGAAAAACTGTCGACAATTCAGTATAGGTGGTGGGGTTTTTTTTTCGTTAGGAGATTTGTTATAATGTTTTCCACTTTTTTTCTAAGCAAAATTATTCCTAAAAACTTAAAGGAAATTTAATATTTAACATTAATTAATCATACTCTAAGTTTATGGCCTACTCAAAATTATCATTTTAGCTGGCATAAATTTTTTCTCAAAATAAATTAAGAGACTTCCGTTTGCTAAATAATGGCTTATCATAAAACCTACTTAGTATGTCAGTCTTCTTGTACATATTAAACAGCACGACTAATTCCTGGCGTTGACATGAGAAAGATCTTCCTTGTAATTTTGGTTTAAGTTTTGATCTCCAAGATTTTAACAATACAATCAACTATTCTATATGGACAAATACATGTACAACGCCGAGGTAAGAGTCGATGATGCATAAATTCTGAATATCGAGATATTACAGCTTATGATATATTTCGCTTATAAATATCACCCAGTCAATTTTATTCTAACTATGGTAAATTGGAAACCATATTTGATGAATACATATACCGGTATAGTATTTTATTTATTAGCTGATGTAATTTTGGACGTACTGTATAGCCTGCAAATGTTATGGTAATTAAGCATTGAACTCTTATTTTGGGATGTCGTCGTTCGCATTACATCACCTGGCCGTGTATGATAATTTGTCGGCACGGACATAAGCTAAGAAATCAAGGATTATATTTACATTCCCTAATTTTCTCTCTTCATGAATGTTAATTTCATTTGTGTTTATTATAAATTTAGCGCCTTTCAGAACTGGTGTGATTAATAGACTTACATGTAAGAGCCGTTTTTGCATGAAAAAAAGACAAATTAATCTCAAACGTACAATTTTTATATTTTTACAACAATTTAATAAGTAGTTGTTTTTAATTAAATTGAGCTAAAACAATATACATTTTTGTGTTCCTATATTGTATTGAGTGTTTATGTAGTTCTTGTATATTTTACCGCGCTGTGACAGAGTTTCGTGTGTGTTATACAGGAGGTTGAAGATTTCTGTGGATTTAATAAAGAAAATTACACTGAATGCAAATAGTCTTTAAAAAGTCTTAGTTATAACTGAGAAGATCTTTGGAAAAGTTAAATTAAGATTTATCAATATGATTTGTGAAAAACAAAGCTCTTTCAACATCCCTTGTGATTTGAAAATAGAAAAAATATCGAGAAAAATTTCTAAAGTATCATTCATTGTTCAATGTATTGTGTTAAAAAAATCTCAGATGTACTCCTTTTTTAATTTAATAAAAACTCCCAGTGATGTTTATTCCTTCACACAACCGGGCACAATAGCCTTGTGGTAGGGCATTCACTTCGTGATCAGGAAGCCCTGGTTCGATTCTCGTTCGCTACAAATCTAAGACGTAAACATAAGTAGGGACTGTTCTTTGGCCAAGCACCCGGCATCAGATGTAAAAGTCACTGGTCTTGGATATGCCAGTAAAAACCTAGGTTCCGTGTTACGCTAGGCATTGGCACGATAAAGAACACTCACTGCTCAATGCTCCTGCGTGTCGCTTATAGGTCTAAATCTGAAGCCCTTCTACGGCATATGGTGACGTCTCTATATGAGGGAAAAATTCTCGAATGAGACGTAAATCATCATACAATCAATCAATCTTCCTTCAGACAAAAAAACATTGGACTGTGACTGTTGCCCACCCGCTACTTTTGTCAACTCATAGATCTAAGTGACAAATATGTTAAAGACTGATTCTATAGAAACCATGCTTCGCTGTTTCCAAAGATGTTACCTACCGCGCAAGACACGGTTTCTTTGTCGTATCTTTCAGGTGTGTGGATTGTTCTGGAGAACACGGATACGAATGTTTGATGGCAGATCTCTGAAGAAACAATAACTAGTATTTCCTCCCAAACAGCTCAATGTTCGTTGAGATCGAACAAGCAATAAATGTATATTTTGATTGTTTGTATTCACGTAGAAATAGCAAAATTTGGTTCAGATACTTATTATTTGTAGTTCAGAGAAGTCCCGCTTCAATGAAATCTGGTAGAAGTCCTAAGCTACACCACGATGTAGTGTGTTCTGGTTGTAAAGATTTGAACAAGACGAGTTCAGCGATAGGTAACAGTTTACTTACATTGAAGTACCTCCATAGAGATTGCTCTAATGATGTATATTTCCATCTGGTATATGTTATATGTAGCTCTTGTTCACTTATACATGTAGTTATATTGGAAGAAAAACATTTAAAATTCACAATCATTTTCTCTACATCACCGCACTCTTATCATGATTTGAAATCATATTTGATTAAAAATACCATGTAAGAGAAAATACTTTTGAAGTACTTGTTTTATTCTTTATAGTTCCAAAAGGTTCTTTGCAGCAATCTCGTAAACATGCAAAACCACCAGACGATGCACTGTGTGCTGCATGCAAGATAATGAACGGGAGGAAATCACCAAGATGTGATCTTTTATGTTTAAGAGGTGATAGTCTTATTTAATTTCTTCAATCTGTAGCTTGTGAACTCATGTGTATTTAATGCTGTTCGTAAATACGGTATCATTACATACGAGCCCTAAAATTCCTTTGTGCATTTGAAGTTTTCAGAATCTTTCATACTTGTTATACGTATACTACACATGCCTGCAAATAAAATCTGAGATAATGGCTATTATTTTGTTGTTGTTGTTTCGAGAAAAAAAAGTGTGCCATCATTGTGCGATTTTTTTGACATTTGAATAAAAAAATATATTGCTTAATATAGATTTTTATAAAATGAAAAACGATAAGGATTTTAAAAGTCAATAAAACTTTTCATTTGGATCTGAGTGATGAGTGTTAACTTTGCATGACGGGGCAAAAATACTTTAAGACCCCATATTCTCCAAAGTACGCAAATTAAACGAAAATTCCATACTTAAAATAAGGATTACGCTATCAAAAACAGATGCTTGTCTTCAAAATCAACTTTCATTATTAAATACTTAAAATAAATACTATAGTCAGTGGAAGATTGATTTATCATATCTATACTGGAAACTTTATAAAACTTTATATTTCGTAAAAATACTCACAAAGATAAACTCCAGTATCCAGTAAATGTTCAACCAAGTACCTATTTTTATGCCTCAACAAAATGACAATTGCTGTAAGGGAGAAACTTTAGACGTTTTGGGGGAAACGATATATATATATATATATATATATATATATATATATATATATATATATATATATATATATATATATATATATATATATATATATATATATCCAAAATTAATAGCATCCAAATGTATGAGTTTCATACAAGCATTTTTCACAATAAATCAAAAACCAGATTTATTGACATCATAGACAAATGCTCCTTCAATTATGGTGTATATGTCTCCCATATAATTCTGTATGAAAGAACATATTTTGAGTACGATCAATTTTCAAACTAAGACAGGATACTGACAAGCAAGTTAATGTTGCAGGATTTTCAGTTAAATGTTTAAGTTTAAAGTCAGCATAAGTCATTTGTTAATAATTACCCTGTTTGCAAATGCAATCTTGAGTTCTGTTAGACAGTCATGTTTCGCTTCAATTGTTTCACCATTGTATTAATGCATTACTCCGTTTAATTACTTGATCAATACAGAGGCATTCCGGGCAGGTGTGCCTGGTCGAAAGGAGATGCTTACTCTTAATAGGCACCAAATTCCAGATCTGGTGCTTCAAGGTTCCATGTTTTCCCTGTTGGTGAATCGGATTCATTATTGTATTTATGAGATTAATCACTGTTCGTTGTCTTCAGATTTAATATTCTTCTACCCATTCATTTACCAGATAAGAAGGCTAGGACATTGCCAATTTTTAGACTTACGTATAACGGGTTATATAACCCACCGGCAAATTTCTTCTTAAAAAATATTTAGTGTAATTAATTTCTTAGAGACTTAAGGAATAATACTATTCATTAATCATAAGTGACACCAATTTTAGCATTCTCAAGACCATTGCTAGTAATGCCAAAAGCAGATGATCGTGAAAAATTCCCATTAAACGGTATTTAACACCCCCCCCCCCCCCCGAATAGAAGAGCTCCATATTGAATATATTAATTGCAAATAATAATATACATGTAGTTGAAACAATATACAGAATAAAGTATGAAAGTAAAAATAAAGAAATGTTACGTAAATTCTCTACCTTAAATCAAAGAATAAAATAATCATTCGGAATCAAATTGAAAGGAGTATATATATCTAAGAACAATTAAAGCATTAAAATCAAAATATTATAATTATATATTCCAACACATGTAAGAAAGAAGAACCAGTAACTCTCTTCATTATACGGAGCTAGTTCTTATTTATCTTTAATGAACTCGAACCTTCCACATTAATATACTCATCATGAATTTAATTCAACTAAAAAGAAATATGCACTAAAAATTAGATTTCATTGATATGAAAGGCCTCTGATTTTTTTTCTTTTTTTTTTAAATTATTATTTTTATGCAAATGTACAATTACATTACTACATTTCATCCTGCAACCAACGCTTGCATTGAACGAATAACCAGAAGTCTCTGACGAGACTGTAGCTCTACTGGTTGTACTTACTAAGGAAGATAAAAGTAGCAGTTGGATTTGAAACTTTGCAACAGCAATAAACAGAATAATTTGGTTTAGTCTCTTTTTGTGGCAAGATTTATTGCAATCAGACTAAAACTGTAGGAGGAATAGCCTTTTAAAACAATTTTACAGAAATTTCGATTTAAGTAAGCATGGCAACATCATTCAACAAAATCAAAAAACAATACTTGCATGCCAAGTTATACTGAAATCAGACAAAAAGTGTAGGAGGAGTAGCGTTTTGAAAGTATTTCACAGAAATTTCTATTTTTAGTAACCATGGCAACACCGTTCATGGAATTTAAAAAACCGATATAGAGAATTATGTATCTTAGTGTAGTCTCCTTGTGTGCCAAGTTATATTGAAATCAGACCAAAACTGTAGGAGTAGCGTTTTGAAAGTTTTTCACAGAAATTTCTATTTTTAGTAACCATGGCAACACCGTTCATTGAAATCAAAAACCGATAAACAGAATTATGTATCTTAGTATAGTCTACTTGTGTGCTAAGTTATATTGATATCGGACCAAAACTGTAGAAGGAGTAGCATTTTGAAAGTATTTCCAAGAAATCTCTATTTTTAGTAACCATGGCAATACCGTTCATTGAAATCAAAATCCGATACACAGAATTATGTATCTTAGTGTAGTCTACTTATGTGCCAATTTATACTGAAATCAAATCAAAACTGTAGGAGGAGTAGCGTTTTGAAAAATTGTTTACAGACGGACAGACAGACAGACGGACGGACGACGGACACCTTACTATCGCATAAGCTCTTCTGGTCTCTGACCAGCAGAGCTAAAAGTAAACCAAAGCTTATCTTCTAAGGGGAATCTGTGTAGATTATTTATTTGTGAATAAAAACAATCTATTTTTATCAGTGTTATATCTTAAATATGAAAAGGAAAACTGCATTTACTTGATTATTTAACAAATGTAGAAAAAGATGACACTAAAAGCATTTGGTCAATAAAGAATTCTTAAACATTTAAGGTTTTCTTTCCTATACATACAAGGCATACATTTTTCACTCCAACAAAATAGACTTTACGGAGATTTTTTTTAATCTTTCAATTTTGATAAAACCATGTGAATGCTTTCTTAGAAGACTGAGAGATTTAATAATTATATCTACAAAATAAGTACATGTGTATATGAAAGTTCTTTTCTTAATCTATAATTTTGAGCTAGGACAGAACATACAATTTGATATGAAGCTTTTTGAAGATTCTCATAAGCAGAAAAGGATTAACACATGAGGCGTTTCTGTATTTTGGAGAATGGCCCAGAGTGACATTTAATAAAGCTTAGAAATTATTTCTTTTCTGGACAGAAATTATGTAAAAACATGAAATAATAAACATTTAGTAGTCAATCATTCCGTAATTAGACTGGACCACAAGCATAATTTATCTTATTTAAGTATTAAGAAAATACCTTGACCTTCGATTATTTTAATCGTCCTGAAACTACACGCAAGTCAAGCAAATGACAGAGCATGTTATTATTTATGATAATGAAAAGGAGTTCTTTTTTAGCAAAACGCAAATTAGAAAACTTTGATCTGTAATTCACATTAATAATAAAAATGTATTAGTTTTGGGGCATTTCCTACTTGAATAATTATGATTTTTAAAGCATACTGAGATGGAGATGGGAATTTTCTTGTTACTAACATAATGACAGCAAAAATGAATGCTTATTTGGATCTCGTGAATCTCTCTTCTGATAAAATTGATAACTCAGTTTTAGGCTTATTGATGATAAAGGTTAAAGGTACATGAAGAGCAATTTTTATAGCAATATTTATCCCATATGCAATGAATATTAACAAAACATTAATTCTAATTACGTTTCTTTATGAAACAAGTACTATTACATTAAGTGCTGAGTGAGTTTTACAATCTATTTAATAAATATGTATAATATACATAATACCCAGGCGGAATCCAAGGAAATGATACTTGCCTACCGGGAGGGCCTTTCTTAGAATCTGGCGCAATAGCCCCTCCATAGGTGACTGTGAAGGGAACAGACCTCTTGGTGCCCCCAACAAGAGTGAGTACAAAACCAAAATGAATAAATTTAAGATCTGACTCGGGTCTTAATTTTATATATGCTTCCCCTGGTATACAAAACAGCATGGGGATAATACCCCCCAGGGTATGTGCTACAACATATTCAAGAAATAATGTAAATCAAAGTACCAAGACAAAACATTATTTCACAAATTGAAGTCATTATAGAATAAAAAGGAATCTTATAAAGAATCAACCTTTGTCATAGAGTTTAGTTCCATATGTTGGAAGTACTTGGAACTCCTTCTGCTGTTAACATTTATGAATTTTGAGGATAATATAATTTATAAAATTTACTGGTAGTCGAATAAACTTCATAGATTCTATGTCCGATCAAATGACTTACATTTTAGAAAAAAAATACCAAAAGCTCTGCAAAAAATATTTTTAAAGCGATGTACTTCGTTCTTTAATAATCATAAACTTCAATGAAACGAATAATAGAAAACCAATATGAGAAGCAACAAAATGAGAAAAAAACTATTAAAGCAATCTGAGCTGCATTGTTGAGAATTTTATTTTGCTGTTAAAATGTGCTGTCATGATAAATCTGATGTAATTTAAACCTTTATGATCAATTAGACTTAAATAAAATTTTACATTTTTTCAGGAGAAAGGTTTCTGCACAATAGAATGTAATAGTATTATATAAGAAATCAATATTCTAGAGGACGACAATAATGTAATTTTGCTTAAATCAAAGCTTCGAGAAATAGTTCTTTCATCGCAAATATAAACAACAGAAGTTTATAAATGTTCTTTTTTTTTGTCATTGAAATTGTTAATTACAATTTTGCCACAAAAATTTCCGACATCAAAGTTGCAGCTCATATTGCTTTTAAAAAAAAGAAACTATTAACTGTGATAGACTGTTTATTAATAACATTTGACACAAAAATGTCACGTTGTTATGTGTGCATTACTAATTTTACCTTGCTTTAGACTTCCTTAT